CGAAAGAAGGGCAGTCGAGGTGTTTTGCATGTTATTCTATTATTATCGATTTCCGTGCTTGAGCTGCAGAGGGACGAGACGGCAGGCACACCGGGACAGAGAGAATTCGTGGGTTCCTGTAGCCCCCCCCCCCCCGCTCGGCGCAGACGATTTCAGGTGTTAATTGGCTTCGGGTGAAACCTGGAGCTTCTGGGGATATTTTTTTTCCTCACTTTGTAATATGGATGGATCATCTTTTCCATCGCTGAAACGCTTAACCCACTTGCGCCGGGCGTCACGTATACGTGACGGGCCTACTGTGAGTTTACTTGTTTAATTGTTTTCAGACATAGACGGCTCCACTTGTTCTTGTACTGCTTGTCTCGTCTGTTTATCTTTTTCTTTAATTTACTGGAATTATTTTCCGTTATCTTATTTTGCTGTTACTAATGATTATAACATTATAGTAATTATAATGTTTATAATAAAAATAACCTTCGATATAACACTAGTAAAAATACTTTTTCCCGGCAATTCAAGTAAAGGTGAAGTCAGGGAAGGCAGAGCCATCTAGTGTAGACAAATTTCATTTAAAAGAATATAAAAAATGAGCACAGCATTTTCCCCATTTTTTGTTCATTTTTACCCTGGTGCGAATGGGTTGAGGTGCAGACGCACTCTCCAGCGACCAATTCCCCGACTCCCGTCACAGACCTTACTCAACAATCTAAGTTCATGGGAGATCCACGCCCACCACTGCATGACCTAGAAATCGCTTAATGCTACCAAGAGCGACACACAGAGGGAAGGGCTATCTTAGAGAGCATAAGAAATGGTCTTAAACAACAGGTGCAGCGGCTCCGGCCTCATGTGTACCGCAAAAGGATGAAATAACTGCTCTATATCACCGCTCAGAGGCCATCCCCACAGCCCAGGGTGCATTCTGTGTAAAATTCACACCGGAGGTACGCCAACATTCCCGATAAGAGTAATTTTTCATAAAGTGTAATGCCAAGTTATAGCCCAGTAGATTACTGATGGCAGCACACTTTTTTAAATAAGAATCGCGAATTATTTCCCCAGCCTAGTGATTCTTAAAAATTTGGGATTTTGAGCCTCAGATGTTTGTTAAAAAACAGCCACAAGGAGTGTGTGTTGGGGGGGGGGGAGCATGCATTGTAAAGGAATAAACAAATGACTATGTATAAGTGCATTGCGTTCAACTTAAAAGCTTGAAAAGGCAGTACAGATAAAAAAAGCATGGGCCAAGATTTTTCCATTTCATTACGCCAGTACGCCAAGGAATATAATTTAGGCTAAATCCATGCCGCCACACCGACAGGAAAGCTAACTCCACGCCGGCGATCTTCGGGCCTAAGTGCAAGAAATGCACCCTGGCACACAGCAAGAGTTCTTAATGTCCATTTTCTGTGAGTTGGCATGAAGGGCTAATAAAGGAAGGGGGGGGGGTACCAGGTGGGTTTTTCCCCCGTTCAGAGAATGGATAGAAGTTGGGGACGGATAGGTTTGCATTTTTGGTTCATATGAAATCCTCGTATTTAGGAAGCTGCATCACTCCTGGTAACCAATACCCAAAAACCTTCCTGGCCCAGGGGTTTGCCCCCAAACCCTTATCCAGTCACTGCATTTCCCTATTGGTCTCTCCGCCCTTGAACATTCACCCATGTCTTGGCATTTCTGACGTTATTTTATATTGGGAAAGAGGAAGAAATGCTGCATGTAGACCAAGTCCACAGCGATTGGTTGGAGGTTTGAGAAGTCCCAGGATAAGGAAATATGGCATTGGTTTTCAAGAGTGATGCACCTCCAGAGACAAAGTCCCAAAACCAGGGTATCGTGCAGACCCAACTTTTCCAACCTTCTAGCACTTGCCAATTTACAGAGAAGGGACTTTAACGCCCTCCCCTCCTTTGCCCCTCATTATTTGCAATTCGTGCCATCTTATAGAAAATGTTACATTAATAACTGGTCACATGAGAGAGTTGTGGAGTAGATATCTCTGTCATTTTGTGGTAATATGAGCTGGGAGCAGCTGTACCAGTTTTGACTATTTTTGCTCCATAAGATGGCTGTGTCCATTTCCCTCTACCTCTCTGTATTGCTCTCGGTAACATTAACTGCGAAGGGTTGTTGGCTCTGCCCCAAACCCACCATGCAAGGCAAGACAGAGCTGAAACTTGGGAGCACCGAGTGGGCTTTCTCCTATCTTTTCCCATTATTTGTGGCATTACCTTTCATGTCTGTAAATTTTTTCTTGTATAAATGGCTGCAACTTTTTGACGTCTCTTCAGTTTGCCTTATCTTAGGGTGTCCACACTTTAAGATCAACCTCACGTGTAGGAAGGTTTTTGGTTCATAGTGATGTATCAGGATTCCCAGGAGTTCCCCATTTTTTTTTTGGCAATCATCTTGTAAACAGTTGCCAGAATCACCTTTGGTATTTAATGTAATAATGGTCTTTACAGTCATATTTGGAACAGTATTTTGAGTAATCTTTTATGAAGTGACCACACCCCTCTGAGATAGTAATCACCAAGTGCCAGATTCACAACCATAATGCAGTTACCATTGCGTTTACAAGGAATGGTAAAGTGGGACTTGCAAAGATATGGTAACTTCCCTGAACAAAGTTAGTCGCAAATCAACTTTTTCTAATTGTAGTCAACACAGGGCTATAATAAAGCAATTCTGCCAAATAGTGAGCACAGTACATAATTTTTCAGGTTCTTTCTGCCAGTTGAATAACATATAAACAGAACCCAATATTATAGTTGCTGCTAAAGCTCCATTTAAACAGATACTCAAAATTTAAAATAAAGAATTGTTTAATTATATCCATCGTGTGGGATGTTAACCCCTTGGTGCCGGGTGACGCTGATCGGCTTGCAAACAAACCCCTCGAAAGCTGGCGTGCAGCAAGCCAGTGATTCGGGCTGATGTCCCCTACTCACGCGCTCAAAGTCGGTGCGCCACCTTTGTTTGCTAGAGCATAGTTTTTTTTTTTGTGTGTGTGTGTGTGTATGTACACCCGGCATCATTGGGTTTATAGACATCCCTGGCTTTTTGATGTGTTAATAGTAATCAATGGGTCTGTTTACATTTGAGCACCACCGTTCCATTTAAGCAGTTTTTGTAGTACTCAAAAGTATCCCATGTTTTCCAACGGAATGCACAGCAGTGCTCCAACCAGTAGTAGATTTACCATGGTAACTCCAATGACAAGGTGTTTGTTTACAATTGTAACTGTAGTTACCAGCAATTTTTACCACTAACTGCATTGGTGAATCTGGCCCCAGAATGGTCCATAAAGCAAACAAATTTTTGAGACATAAGTTCTGATAGGTATTTGTATTTGTTTGCAAGAAAGGTATCCTCATTGCAAAGTTCCTGTTCTATCAAATTAGCCTAAAACTTAATGTAAGCTGCAGTATATAACCTACAATATTACATTTTACCTAATAATGGTGACAAACAGTGAATTCAAGGCAAGACCAATCGGAAACAATTTCCCATTATTACAAAATAGGACTCGTTATTGTAGTTCATGGAAGCTAAATGATAAATCCTATATCCCAAGCAGAAGCAGTTTTGTTACAACTTTCTAAATGAAGAGCAATCCTGTTGCTATTTGCTCTACCATTGGTTTCTAATTTTGGGAGGATTTTGAAAAGAGGTAAAACTTTGATAAGATTAGATGCAACCTTTGGTGTAAACAGGCTCTAGCCAGATAACTTGCCAAATGCACAGAAATAAAGAAAATTGAATTCAAACTTTGAGGCATAGCTTTCACCATGGAACAACGTTGTTTTAAGTATCTTCTCAAATAGAGGGGGGGGGGGGGGGGATCAAGTGTCCTTGTCACAGTCTAGAATACATTACAACTATAGTCCATCTTTAATGTATTCTAACACTCGCAGATACTGGGAAACCTTAAGTGTGTATCTGAAACCCAGTTTATTAATGGTGCTATTTGTTTGTCAAATTTTGTGCAGTAAAAGTTAAATAAATAAAATAGATAAAACCTACAATTCCTCTTCAAGGCCATCTTTAGTTACTGAATTTTGTAGATTTAAAAAATATGAAACCAGATTCTGAATATATGAAACCTCAAGTATTCTACCTTTGTATTTAAGACTACTACTCTGTTAACATAAAGAAAGAACAATAACAAAAGGCTATAAGAGTAAGGTTTAATGTTGTGTATGTTCTCTTTACATCATGACCTGAATTACAAAGGGATTCATTTATATATATATATTCATTCCTGTCTCACTATTGCTCACTTGTTACTCAGAGCTCATTGGTGTATGTTGTTATTTAAGGCATTGCAAAGAACAGTTATAAAAAGGGTTCTGTTTCCTTAAATGTGGATATGTGTTCCATATTTGAGTGTTGTAGAGATGTAACAACAGATAGGGAATGTTTGACAAGAGTAGTTTAGTTTTCAGTTGTTGGGAATATTTCTAGTAAGTTAAAATAAGGGGAATATGATTTCCTTTTCTCACTTTTGGAATATTGCATAATGAGGACAAAAGAAAATATAAATGACTTAACTCCTTTAACTTTGTTGCATAGACATATTTTCAGATGCAATGAGCTAAAGCTAAAAATCATAGATGAGAAAATAGGATGGTGTATAATACTTGTAGAAAATCGGGTTGCTCCATTTGTAAAGAAAGTTTGATGCAGTCTTTGGCGTTGAGAGGCCTCGGCTGGATATTCTGCCAAATGCACAAAAAGAAAATTGAATCAAAAGTTTCCAGATGCAATTGTTTTAAGCATCTTTCCAATTAGAGAGAACCAGTCTCTTACCAGCTTTAGAAGCTGGTAGGGAACTTTTTGTTTATAATAGGAACTCAATATTGGTATTGAATTATCTGAATCATAAAAGGTCTACAACTTTTCCATCTGGCCTGAAAATATTTTGAAATGTTGCCTCAATCAGTTCTAGTAATGGAAGTGGAAGCCTTGACAACTGTCTTTTTCTGTTGGTTTTTGCTGTGGCCCTCACTACAGTTTTCCAACTGTTGTACTGAAACTTTAATGATAGATACTTTTCCAAAAGCTAAGGTGGGTTATTTAATTTACAGATATGTCTGCTGCCATCATGTCCGAGGAAACCAAAATGGAAACTGCTCCCTTTGATCCCCGTTTCCCCAACCAGAACCAGACTCGGTAAGATTCTGAAATACATTAGAGGAGGTGTGATAACCTTGATATGATAATAAAAGGAATTTGTTAGACTGTGTGAAGGTTTTTCAATGAAGGATGAAATGTTAGTTATAGCAATAAGAGATTCTTGTGAAAGGTGTAATTTTATTTTATTAACCCATTGTATGCAGGCATGTGTACTTTCCACTGTTTTATTTTATTATTATTATTTTTTTTTTTTTTTTTTTTTTTTTTTACTTTAAAGTTCAACGAGGAGTCAATTGGTAGGCCTTAATTTAAAAAAAAAAATATATATATATATATATATATATATATATTATATATATATATATATATATATATATATATATATCTGTTATTATTCTGATTGACATGATTCTTATGTAGTTTAGCAACAAATAATAAGAAATAAAAATTATCTGAAAATCAAGGAAAAAGGTAAATTTGAGATAGGTAGGGCTAGTAGTAAGTACTTTTGGAATCATCTCTGTAAACACAATTGATAAACTAAATTACCATAGACACCGCATATGTCATACCATCCAGGCACAAGAGCCTTAATGATGTAATGTGTATTTTACACAGGTACTGCTACCAGAGCTTTGTTGACTTCAACCGATGCCAGAAAATCAAGGGAGAAGACTATGAACCATGTGAATACTTCAAGAAGGTATACACCACCATCTGCCCCAATGCCTGGATTGAGAAGTGGACTGACCAAATAGATAATGGAATCTTCCCAGGAAAAATTTAAATGTCACTTATATACAAAGATAAATTTACAGTTGTAGCATAATTTCATGGTGGATTGTTCAGAGCAAATAGAGGAAATTAAAAAAAAGGTCCAATGTCATTTCATATATTGAAGAGTGCTTTTGAACAATCTACAGAGGAATGTTGCTAATATAAAGAGAATAAATAAACTCATTTCCTGGTTTCTGATCTAACAAGTCATTGTTGTAGATATTTGTACATTGAGAAATGTGTTGATGTAGATAAACAAAAAGTAACATTGCAGGATAATTTATTTCCTTAATGATATTCCAATAAATTTGTACAGACCAGGTTTATTATCTGTTTATATCCTAATGACATTTAATGTGTTTTTCATCCCAGTTTAATATATGTGCTAAATTGGTGTCTGTCAAGATATATAGAACTGTAATATATTTTGTCCAGAAACCAATATTGACTTAATATGATAAAATAAACCAGATATAATATTTGATAAATATTACATCTGTCAATGTAACTGCAACTGAAGGTTACATATGATGATGATGATGATGATGATGATAGGTGCCTACATTTATATACAGGCATGTTATATAATAGTCCCTTAATAATGATGAAGGATAGTAAATTTAAGCGTTCATGAGTTTCTGGTCGAGCCGGGATCCTGTGTCTTACTTTGTATGGGAGAGCAGCAGACGATGTGGTTCCTTCTTTGCTCATGAATGCCATAGTCTGTTCAGTCTGGCTTTACAGGAGCCCATGTCCATTGTTAGCGCCATAGGCAGACATCTAATGGCACTGCGATTCATCACTTGATGGGTAGCCCATAGCTGATATCACAACCTTTACAGCACAATAAAAGGACACTAATGTCATTAATTCTGCAATCATTTTTGCAGTATAATCCACTCAACACAGTTGTGAATGTGCTTGTTAAAGAAATATGAATAAAGTAAGGTGAGGAGAGCAAATGGTAGGCTACATTTGTCTTACGGTATTCGTATAGCACTTTTTCCTTCTGGTGCTTCCCATTCAGAAGATGAGAAATTAAAAGGAAAAGCTACAAGAATAGCATTACACAACTCGGCTCTGCTATAGCCACATGGCAGAGAAGAAAATTTAACAAAAATGGTTGAAAAAATAAGAAGAAAAGATATGGTGTAACCAGCAATGCAGTAGATCAATGACCCAAGCAAATAAATGTGCTAGACATTAAAGGTCATAGCAGCATGACAAAGCATAAACATGAGTTAATGTCTAGTGTATATATGCAAATGTCAAAGGTCATACAGCCGTACAAGGTAGTATAGTATAAGGCAGGAATTAGTAAAGCGGTGGAGAGTAAAGGAAAAGATCAGGAAAAATTAAGGGATTCTTTGAGGATGTCCACCCCCCCAATCCCTTGCCCGTTGTTGTCGTGGGGGGGCTTAGGAGGCGGAGACTGGGACCCAATGATGGGGAACTCCCCAACCTTGGGACTCAGCCCTCGACTCAACTAATTATGCATGGTCTTTTTTTTTCCCTTCCCACTTATGTTTCTGTCCCTTCACCAAACCCTTCTGCTATCCACCTCCTAAGGTGTGAGAGCCGTGCTGAAAGGATGAAAGGCTGACTTTGTGCCAGTCCCTGAACGGCCTGAGGGAGCCATGGGCACGGTATTCCCCTGATTTAGTTATCTAGCCCTTACCCCTCAAGGGGACCCTGAGGGGTGGACTGCTTTTATCCCCAACATAATCCAGGCTTCCCATGGCCAGTAATGAAAATATATCCCCACTGTTAGGGGCAATGAGGCTTGCCCCTTTATCGAATAGCCCCAACGAAGTAAACCCACCCGATTCCCCGACCCCAGGCTCTCCTTTGACCACGGCTCCAAACACTGCAATAACTACCCCTTCACCAATGCCTACTAGTACAGAAGCCAACAATCAACCCTCAAGGAACATTTCCACTCTCCCTGCATGCCCAACTTCAACACCTCTACCCCCACAACCTCCAACATCAACCACCCCATCCTCCCTTATTAATACCTTACAGCCTTATAGCCCACCTCTCCATAACACTACCTCCATCAACACTACTCCATCTTCGTCACGCCCTTGCCCTTCTACCACCCCTATCTCTAAAACAATCTTGAATACTCTCTTCAGTGCAGCCAAATGGGACCGATTTTTCGTGATCCCTCCCACAGCTCCCTACTCTGACAACACCCTTCTCTTCCAACAATGCCTCCAAAAACAAGTAGGTAAAGTCTCTTTCCGTAGCCGACCCGACCGCTCCCGTCTTGTAACAGTAACATCCGAAAACCAAGCCATAGCATTAACAAAACTAACTGACCTATATGGTAACCCCATCCTAGCAGAACCCCATCCAACCCTTAATACTTGCACCGGAACAGTCTCAATCTCACCAACAAATTGCCCAATCTATGACAAAGATTGGTCAGATTGTGGAGAAGATCTACTTGCCTGTCTCACAGACTACGATGCAACATCAGTACAATGCTATTCCATCCCCCCCAGAGGTCATCGAAAGAAACCCACTAACATAGCCAAAATTACCTTCCGTAGACATGACCTTCCCTTTAACGTCTACATAGGAGGAGAATCCCTCCCTGTTCGTCCATACCAACCTCCTCCACGTCAGTGCCAAAATTGTTGGCGTCTAGGACACCCAGCCAAACACTGCCGTTCCACAGCCAGATGCCCATTATGTGCCCAACCTGGCCATACCCGATCTAACTGCTCTGCACAATCACGCACATGTGCCAACTGTGGCGGCCCTCATAATGTATTTTATAGGGGCTGTCCCACCTACAAATTTGAATCTGAGGTAGCAACTCTCAGATTCAAACTCGGACTCACACTGCGTGAAGCCAGACAGGAAGCACGTCGACGTGGATTCTCTCTTACTCCTTACTCCAGTAATACTGCTCATTCTAACACTTCTCCTAAACCCACCCCTCCTACATCTAACCCCTCCACTAACCCCACCTACCTTCCCCAGTCAAACTCTTTTGCCATCCTAAATCCAGAAACTCCAATCTCTACTACAGATACTCCAATCACCACTGCAACCCCAACACCTTCCCCTCTCCCTCCTCGCACTTCCCGTAACAGACAGAACAAACGTTCCACCCCCTCTTCCCCTACCACACAATCACCCCCACCATCCTTTGCCCGTACTCTTGAGACACCAGTCCTCTCTCCCCCCCCCCCCCCCACACACACACACAAGAAATCCTTTATCCCCCAAAACTCCCCAACCAACTCCACAGAAGAAACTATTGAAAATATTCAAGATTACTTAATGAAAACTGACACTCAACCTACAACTCCTGCTCCTTCCACACTCCAAGTAATTGCTGATATCCATCCTCCTCCTAACGATATCCCCCCTACACCCTATCCTCCTACCCCCTCCCAACACAGCCCATCCCCCCTGACCCCAACCCTGCCCACATTAAACTCTCCCACCATCCCCTCTATCCCTTCCACTCCCTCCTGGATACACACGTGAATCCCTTATGTCACAAGTATCCCCTTCCTCAGACCCTCCATCTCCTAACACCCCTCCTGATAGAACACCAACTCCCACACCTCTCCCATCTCAAACCTCTCAGTCCTTATCCCACCCTCTAGCTGCTTCCCCTTCAAATTCCCCAACACGTACTACAATCTATATCACTAAATCAACGAAAGTATAAGAATCCTTCATTGGAATATTCGCGGTTTCCGCTCCCACAGACCTGACCGTCATATCCTTTCCTCTTATAACCCATCTATTGTATGCCTTCAAGAAACCTTGCATACCCTTTATCTAATATAACACTCGACCTTAACCCTTTCACTCACTAATTCCTTTGCCCAGCTTAGACAACTAATCACTAACTCAACCACCCTTCACTAACATTAACTATAGTGCTACATGACCTTAGATGTCTAGCACATTTATCTTGCTTTTAACCATTAACCATTAACCATTTGATGATGTCCAACAGTTTGGGGGATCGAAGCAGAAAGGCAGAGATATGGGCCACAGTAGAGCGAGGATAGAGCAACATTGTATGAGACTGAAAGAGATAACCAAGTAAAAAGGAGTGTCAGAGAAGTAGAACCCCCTAGGTTCTACTTCTACTGAAGGATCCAGGGAAGGACACTTGTGACAAAAGGGATTCAAAAGGGAATGGGAGTTGAGAGACTGAAGGGTGGATGTGGGAAAGGACTGTTCTCTCGGAACAGAGAGAAAGGAAAGGACTGTTCTTTAGGAAGTCTTGGATGTTTTCAACAGATTCAGGAGAGGAGTTTGGAAAAGAATGATTAATGAATAATGGTTACAAAAAAAAAAATTACCTCCTGTACCTCTTTTGTGGCTAATACATAAGTGGGTGAGAGCCGTCTCCCAACGTCTGTTCCGATGGAATAGAGCTGACCAGGAGATTGATAGTTTTACAGTAAGTAATTTATTAGTGCGGAGACCTGACCAGAATAGTAAAAAATAGCACTATAGTAAATGTTAGTAAAGGGTGGTTAAGTTAGTGATTAGTTATCAAAGCTGGGCAAAGGAATTGGTGAGTGAATGGGTTAAGGTCAGGTGAGGTAATGAAAAGGGGTTAGATTAAGTGAGGGATATTTATGCGTTTGAGAGGAAAACAGGTTGTCGAAGCAGAATAGGTTGGGAGGTCGGTGAAGGGAGGATTACATAAGGAGCATAGGGGTAGATCGGATTGTGACATCAGATAGGGGTGTGTTAGACGGGTGTGGAAGGGGATGCTTGTGATATAAGGGATTCACGTGTGTCCAGGAGGGAGTGGAAGGTATAGAGGGGATGGTGGGAGGGTTAATGTGGGTGGGGTTGGAGTTGGGGGGGATGGGCTGTGTTGGAAGGGGATAGGAGGATAGGGTGTAGGGGGGATATCGTTAGGAGGAGGATGGATATCGGCAGCCACTTGGTGTGTGGAGGGAGCAGGAGTTGTAGGATTTGAACGTTGATGGGTGTCAGTTTTCATTAAGAAGTCTTGAATATTTTCAAGGTAGTGCGGGGAAGGAGAGGGGAAGGTGTTGGGGTTGTAGTGGAGATTGGAATGTCTGTAGTAGAGATTGGAGTGTCTGGATTTAGGATAGCAAAAGAGTTTGACTGGGGAAGGTAGGAGGTAGAAGAGGGGGAGTTAGCTGGAGGGGGGGGGGGTAGATTTAGGAGAGGATGTAGGAGCTTGGGAGGTAGGGGAAGTGGTAGAATGAGCAATAGTACTGGAGTAGGGATTAAGAGAAAAACCTCGTCGACGTGCTTCCTGTCTGGCTTACGTAGTGTGAGTCCAAGTTTGAATCTGAGAGT